GTGTGTGTGTGTGTGTGTGTGTGTGTGTGTGTGTGTGTGTGTGTGTGTGTGTGTGTGTGTGTGTGTGTGTGTGTGTGTGTGTGTGTGTGTGTGCATTTGTGTGTGTATGTGTGTGTGTGCGCGTGCGTGCGTGCGTGTGCGTGCGCGCTTGGTAACATACAGTGTGTCTATAACAGCACCTACCGATTTGACAATTATCGCCACTGTAGTTTGGAGGGCAATTGCATCTATATCCAGATCTTCTTCTAGGCCTGCACGTACCGCCGTTAACACACGGGTTTGGATCGCAGGACCCTACCGGCCGACTGACAACTGTTACGAGAAGGAAGGAATAGGCAACGCTCGTTATCCGAAGTCGTGGTGACATACAGAAAGAAACCCCGAAATTCGCTAGATGACGTATCGGCGGCTAATTAGAGATTAAACTGATAAAATTGTTCACGTTTCAGTTTCTGTTCACAGTTTGATTGTCTCGATGACTCTTGATTGATTTTGTCAAATTTAGTTGATGAATCTATACAGTATTTTATATCCAACAGGTTGATACTGATGTATTGACACATGTCGATATATAGAGTATATAGTGTACACATATGTTTATATTATATTATACATAAATATCGTTCAGGAAGTGTGTAATAGAGGCTTGTATGTATAAATGTAGGTCTATGCATAACGGGTGGGAGTTGAAAGATGTATTGAATGCTCACAGATGTCACATTCGAAGCCAGTGTACTGCGGATCGCACACGCATGCGTACGACGGTTGGAAGCGGCTGATTTTCACCGTAACCTCGAAGCACGTGCCGTAATCACCGCAAGGATTCGGCGAGCAAGCACCGCCGCCCGTGGCCACTAGTAAAGCAAGCGGGTAAGCATAGCAACGTTAGACGCGCGTGAAGCCTGCAGCGCCCTCTGACGGGGGAGAACGCAGATCCATTCTCACTACCACCCCTCACTGTTATCACTCGATGAGCTGAGAGGATAGCGGTGCAGCGATGCAAGTTAGTGTAGCTTTATCTCATCTTAGAATGAGTACAGCGGATTTCATAATAACATAAGGCGAATATGATTTTATGATGAATTCATATGATTAAATGCAAGCAATTAATTTGTTAATTGTTTAGGTACACATAGTTAATTTGTTAACTGTTTAATTAGAAAATTTAATTGCATGAATTCATCATAAAATAAATTTAACACTTAGCATGCCAGCATTGGCATGTTTGCGGCAAGTATCGCTGCGTAATTTAGCGGAGACAGCATGAACGACTATTACTCACTAGCGCGGCGAAACGCTGCCATACACTTACCCGTACGCTCGCAGAAGTCTCCCTCGTACCCTTGCTGGCAGTCACAGCCATAGAGCTGACCGCCAGTTGGCACGCACGCCGCTCCATTCTGACACTGATGATTTAGACAAGCGTTGAAACGGATAGGTGAGTCACAGAGGGCGCCCTCGTAGCCTTGTTGACATTCACATGTGTAGTCTTGACCGACGGGTACGCAGCGGGCTCCGTTTTGACATTGATGAGTTTGACAAGGATTGATATCTATGGTTACGTCGCAAAGGTCACCTTCGTATCCCTGTTGACAGTTACATCTGTAGTTCTGTTGACTGATCGCTTCGCATATCGCTCCGTTTTGACATTGGTGATTGTTACAAGGGCCGATAGCGACATCGCAAAGGTCACCTTCGTATCCCTGTTGGCAATTACAGCCGTAGTTCTGACCGACGGCCACGCACGCTCCGTTTTGACATTGATTGTTTCTGCAAGGGTCGATAGCCACGTCGCAAAGGTCACCTTCGTATCCCTGCTGGCAATCGCATTTGTAATCCTGACCGACCGCTTCGCACAGCGCTCCATTTTGACATTGATGATTTTGACATGGGTTGATGCGTATGCCGCACAGCTGTCCCTGATATCCTTGCTGGCAATCGCACGTGTAGTCTTGAACGCCGGCTGGTACGCACTGAGCGCCGTTGCGACAGCCATGATTCTCACACGGGTTGACCTGCACATCGCACAAGGTCCCGCGATATCCCTGCTGGCACAAACACTCGTAGTCCTGACCAACAGCCGAGCAGCGCGCTCCGTTCTGACACTGATGGTTGTCGCAAGGGTTGACGACGACGTCGCAGAACCTCCCGTCGTATCCCTTCTGGCAGACGCACCGGTAGTCGGCGCCACCGGCCTCGCAGACGGCTCCGTTCTGGCACTGATGACTCTGGCAGGGATTGATGGCGACGTCGCAGAACAACCCTTGGTAGCCGACGGAACATTCGCACGTGTAGTCGCGTCCGCTCGCCCGGCAGGTGGCGCCGTTCCTGCACAGGTTGTTCTTGCAGGCGCCGACGGGCGGTACGAGGTCGAGCCGCTCGCAGAACTGGCCCGCCCAGCCGAACGTGCAGTCGCAGCTGTAGGTGTCGGAAGGGCCAGGCACGCACGCCGCTCCGTTGCGACACTGGTGGTTGACGCACTGGGCGCCGGCGACCCGCCGACCGCAGAAACGACCTTCGTAGCCGGCCTCGCATTGACAGCTGTAGGTCGTCGGTCCTGTCTGCTCGCAGACGGCGTTGTTACGGCACTGGTGGTTTTCGCACGGTCCACCACCCTGTGGTCTGTCGGCTAGAAAGAGAGAAAGGGAGAAAACAATTTGAATAAAAAAATATAAAAACGAAAAAACAATTTTTTTGAGAGCAAAAGACAAAATATTCGATCGGTTTAGCAGTAGAAAAGCGCGAAGTTAGACGAAAAATACGCAAAATACACGGCACGTGTTTTTTAGAGAAACGGAATTAATATTAAAGAATTTAAGAGAGAAAAAAATCGATGATCAACCCACCAATACAAGAAGGCATACTTTATCTCTCTCTCTCTCTCTCTCTCTCTCTCTCTCTCTCTCTCTCTCTCTCTCTCCTCTCTCTCTTCTCTCTCTCTCTCTTTCTCTCTCTCTCTCTCTCTCTCTCTCTCTCTTCTCTCTCTCTCTCTTCTCTCTCTCTATTCTGTCTGTCTGTCGTCTCTCTCTCGTCTCTCTCTTATTCTGTCTCTGCTATCTCTCTAATCTCTCTCATCCTCTAATTCCTATCTCTCTATCTCTCTATCTCTCTCCTCTCTCTAATCCTGCCTCTCTCTATCTCTTATCTATCTATCTCTTTATCTATCTGATCTATCTATCTATCTATCTATCTATCTATCTATATATCTATCTATCTATCTATCTATCTTCTATCTTCTATCTATCTATCGATTATTGCTATCTATCTATCTATCTATCTATCTATCTATCTATCTATCTATCATATCTATCTATCTATTCTATCTATATATCTATCTATCTATCTATCTCTCTATCTCTCTATCTCTCTATCTATCTATCTCTCTATGCTTCTTACCTATCTATCTATCTATCTATCTATCTATCTATCTATCTATCTATCTATTATCTATCTATCTATTCATCTATTATTTATCTATCTGATCTATCTTATCTATTATCTATCTATCTATCTATCTAATATATCTATATATCTATATGATCTATCATCTATCTATCTATCTATCTTCTTCCTATGCTATCTATCTATCTATTTATCTATCTATCTATCTATCTATCTATCTATCTATTATCTATCTATCTATCTATACTATCTATCTATTTTATCATCGTATGCTATCTATTCTAATTATCTATCTATCTATCTATTCTATATACTATATATCTATATATCTATCTATATATCTATTATACTACTATACTAATGCCTATCTATCCTATCTATCTATCTATCTATCTATCCTAGTCTATACTATCTATCTATCTATCTATCATATCTATCTATCTATATATTATATCTATCTATTCTATCTATCTAATTTATTCATCTAATCTCCGCCCCCATCTCATTGTTAATTTCCAGTCTTTCTTTCCACTAAATAAAGGCAAAACTGTAGGTACTTCGGTACTTACGGACTTCGCAGGTGGGGCCGGATGTAGAAGGTTGCGCGTCACAGTCGCAAGACGAACGAGCGCTGGCTTGTTCTGACACTTGCCGCCGTCTACAGCGGGTTCAGGCACACGATTGACGCTTGAGTTTATGTAGAAGAAACACATTACAGCAGATCTATATGATCTATGGATCACATACCACTACACGCGTAAGCAACACAGCACGCGATGTATGTACGATGTTATACATACACATTATAAATATATTCATTAAATAAATAATATAAAATAGATATAATATATATATATATATATTATATATAATAATATATATATGTATAGTATATAATAATATATTTAAGAAATCGTCAAAAATCGTAACCAATGCAATTTGGCATGTCTCATTCTCATTCTCAGGTGTCTATATATACAATCAACAAACGTGAATAAACACGTTGTAAGCGGCAATATATATTACACTCACTGCACAGGGTCGGACAGGCGTCGCAAAAGTCGTCGCAGCAGTCGCCATTCACGTGGCAGAATTCGTCGCAGAAGCAGCCGCTGGGCAAGACGGGGTTGTTCGATCCGCACGCCACCTTCAGGCCGGTGTTGACATTTTGGCAGGACTGCGCCTCCCCGCAGGCGACCAGCGTCGCCACGATGACGAGAGCAACGATGCGAAGGTTCATCTTTACAGTTTCAGACAGTTCACGGCCGCTGGCAAGCAGACGCCTGCACTGTAAAGTTAAAAAGGAACGGAGATATTTAGAATGGCATTGAACGCATGCACGCGCATCATGGCGCCTTGAATCGCAGACGAGATCGCTCTACGTGCTGTGTAGACGCGGCGATGTTTGAAATCGCACTGACGCATTCGGTTATTGATACTGCCGATAGATTGATTAGATAGTGAATGATTGATTGATTGATTTATATGATTGATAAGCTGATAATAGATTAATTCGACCGACGGGAATAATGGTAGCCACGGACCATTAAGCTTTATTTAGATAATCTAATTATATAATATTATAATTAATTGGTTATTAATTATATTTTAAGATAATTAGTTTAACGACTGGTTCGACGTTGGTAACAGGTCAATATACTTGGATTCATCTTCAAACTAAATCTCTCTTAATTAACATCCTCATGAAATCGGTTGAAATTGTTCCCAGCGGAACCGTTAATGTCCCATGAGGGTTTAGGAGGAAATAGACAAATACACTGCTTAGTAGCATCGTCCGTACAGACGTTGGCTGACGCGCGATGGTGGCGGCACCTCGCTGCCGATCTTACGCGTCTGCAACGACGTACATGGCCGACTAGAACAAAGGCGCGTGTAAGATCCGGCTGCGGGCGGTCCACCGGGACGAGTGAAATTACTATACGGCCTTGTCTGCAAGACTGACTGCTGCTCCGCCAAGGTGGTGTGTTAGCGGTGCTACCAGTCGTTTATATATATATATATATATATATATGCGACACACATAGGCATACAGGAAAGAATGCACAGAAATGAGACGATCGATCGAGCGCCACCTACCGGAA